CTGTAGCAAGGCATGTTCTCTCAGAAAGGCACTCGGACAGAAACCATTTTAGCGCGAGCTGTCTTCACCGGCGTCTGTGTCTGCTGCGTGTCTGATTTGGAACCTCGATCCTGAGTGTACGTTTCATGGCCAAATTGAGTTTGTGAAGTGTGGCCCCGGGAGTGTTGCTCGCCCAAACTGGCTAGGCACAGCCCACATGTGACAGTTTGTCCTTTGTTGTGTCTGTTCCTGAACCTACAACACGACGGCGGGCGAAATTCGAAAGACCTCAATGAGTTTCACCCGCCATCGTGTTGCAGCAGGTTCCGGAACAGACACAAGAGGGACGAGCTGTCACATGTGGGCTGTGCCTATCCGCCCCAAAACCCCCTCGCCTTCCCCGCCCATTTGGCATGCGCGTGGGAAGCCTTTATCCCACCTGCAGAGGGCGGGGGAAGGGGACTAACTGTAGCGTGCAAGAGTCCCTGTCTGGCTGTCTGTGGGACGTGTTGTGCGACTGTTAGGATGTTTCCTGGCTGTCTGTGGGACCCTGGCACCGGGAACGCCCCAAAAATAAGCGGGAAGGAGGGGGGGGACTGTGGCGCGCAAGAGGCCCTGCCCTTTATGACCCACCCCAAACCCCCGCCCTCGCCGCCTGTTTCTGGCATTTCTGGCTGTCTGTGGGACCCCTATGGGATCGGGAACACCCCAGAAATAAGCGGGAAGGCGGGGGGGGACTGTAGCGCGCAAGAGGCCCTGCCCTCTACCACCCACCCCCACAGCCCCGGCTCGCCGCCTATTTCTGGCTGTCTGTGGGACCTTTGTGGGACCCATAGGACAAGAAAGAAATAAGCGGGAAGGGGGGGGGGGTTGCCCTTTATGACCCACCGCAACCCCCCCCCCACGGCCACCTGTTTCCAGCCGTCTGTGGGATCCTCAGCATGCCCCTGTGGGACCCTGGGATGCTTGGGTGGACATGCCCTGCGCGCCTATTTCTCACTTGCCCTCTACCCCTCCCAAGATTGCGAGACTCCTGTAAAGCGCCCTTCATAATCTGTGTTAGGCCGAGGGAACAATGCTATGCCTGTGTACTGGAGGATCCCAGTTGAGGACCTGCCAAACTCCTACTTCTGAGGGAGGCACCAAGCCACGCCTACTTTTGAGGGCAGCGCCAAAACTAGACAGCCTGTGTTGCGAATCTAGTTTGAACATAGCAAAACAAACGCATGACTAAGTTATGTGCACAGCTACGCAGGACAATTTTGGAACCCCTGAATTAAGCCTTCAGCCCCTGTCCTCTAAACTCCTCCTCGAAAGGAATGAGTTGGGCTCTACATCCCATGCTGTTTGTTTAACATGACAGGCAGCCCCATAACTTAAGTTAACCGATAATTCCCCGCTTATTTTTCTACCCCCCCCCACTGTTGCAAAATAAGCGGCGCGCAGCCCCGGAAATAGGCGGCGCTGGGGGTTACCCCCCCCCCATTGCCAGATTTTTAAGGGGGGGGCCGTCCTGCAACACATAAACCTGGCACAAGTGGACCTCGACAAGCAAACGTGTATATCAGCGCGTGCAACCTGTTGCGCTGTGCGATCGCCCCTTGCGCCTAACCAAGCCAACCTTTGCAAGGGGACCCACCCACACCCAAACCCACACCCACACCCACACCCACACACACACACACAGCGCAACGAGACGGGGTCCTGTCATGCTCATGCCACGTGCCAGAAGCTAGGACACCCTGAAGCGACCGAGCACTCGCGCAATTTCTCCTTTTGCTTTCACGTGGACATCCAAGCTCCCGGGATCATTGCCGCCCAGCCTTCAACATCCAGCTGAAGGGAGGGTGGGAACAAAGCAACTGCAGGGGCCCTGCAACAAATTGCGGTAAGCCCCTTTCCGGCTAACGACACTCGTGCCACGCACTAGCAAGAACTGCTTCCAAAGCTGTGACCAAGTCAAGCGCAGAAGTCTAGCACGAACATGTCAGCCGAACCACAACACAAGGACGCTCAACACTCACGGACCACACGTCATGCTCTAACGCGCACCACGCGCGTCAGGCGCTCGCTCCGTGCAGCCAAGGGATGTTTTGTAGCGCATGTAGACTCATATTATCACGCTTCCTCGCGCCCACGGCAATGCAAGAGGCAAGCACCACAGCTGTCAATCACACTCCAGCCACGACCGCTTGGGCCGCTGCACGTGCAGTCAACGCCTCACCGCGCGTTGCACACTTTGAAGGCTCAACTTGCAAGCGCCCCTGCAGTGGCACATGCAGCGCAGTCACTCGACGCAAGCGCTCTCCAAGCGAGACAGCGTCGCAGCTGTGTCAGCACTCAGGCTTTGCAGAACACTGAGCGTCTCTGCCATCTCAGCAGCTTGCTGCGCGTACGCCTGCACAACATTGGCACGCAGCAAGGCATAGTCCATCTCTGGCTCGGCAGCCCCAGCTCCACAGGTAGACAAGAGCAGCGCCAGCAACAAGCGAAACAAAGCATGAACCATGCGCATGGACATTGCGGCGACCTGACGCCCAGCAGGACCAGCACACACCAACGAGCAATTCTTCTTTCCTTACCGCTTGCACCAAATTGGGTTTGAACCCAAAAGCCAAGAGCCCAAACAAGGAGAGGCGCAAAACACAAAGCAAGCACTGCATGTCCTTCATCTTTTTTTTTATCAGTGGGCGAATCAAAGATCGCATCCTATCATGTGCCGGTGCACACAGTGCGGTGCACAAACATTGCACATGCGTCTCACCATACACAAGCGAACCTCAAGCCCCCTATCATGTGCCGGTGCACACAGTGCGGTGCACAAACATTGCACATGCGTCTCACCATACACAAGCGAACCTCAAGCCCCCTTTGAGGGCGAGGCAGCTGTACATGCTACACTAATGGGAGTGCCGATGGCACGCAGGGAGTTGCAGCCGCTTCAGCGGGCCCTGCTATTGTGATGCCCTGGGCGGGCTGGGCGGGTCAAAATTTTCGCACTGAGCTGTGGAGCCAGTGCTGCACACACATCTTCCAGCATATGCAGTTGCAAATCGTCGTTGGCAGTACCAAGCATGACAAGCATCCGAAACTTTTGGGCTTCAAACCAAGACCAAACGGCACACCGTTTTTCTTAGAGCCATTTTGGTAGCAATCGATAAAACACCATTCGCTCGCGAACAGTAAGCTTACCGCTTGCACCAAATTGGGTTTGAACCCAAAAGCCAAGAGCCCAAACAAGGAGAGGCGCAAAACACAAAGCAAGCACTGCATGTCCTTCATCTTTTTTTTATCAGTGGGCGAATCAAAGATCGCATCCTATCATGTGCCGGTGCACACAGTGCGGTGCACAAACATTGCACATGCGTCTCACCATACACAAGCGAACCTCAAGCCCCCTTATTAGCCGACAGTCCCAAGCATATGGCATCCAGGTGCTCCGACACGTCGGAACACGGGACACTGATGCCACCCCACAGCAGGTGCTTGGACACCAGCCTCGACGGGTGATCTGCACAGTTTGATGGGGAAGGAACGCGTGAGAACCAAGGGATGAACTCACACCCCACCTCCAAGCTCACAAACATTTTAAGCAGGCTTTTCACAGTTGGGGACCTGCCCCTGCATGAAATCAAAATGTCCCTAACAGCGTTGTTGTCGATGAAAGCCACAACAGGTGAGTTCGCAACCCTTTTGCCCCAAAGGCGGAACGCAAGCAGCACCGCAACAAACTCTGCCTCCATTATGATTGTGTCCTTGTTAATCTCACCTAGGAGCTTCCGGACATCACTGCCAAGGGCGTGAGAGAAACCAGCAACCAACACGCCCTTATCATCAAACAAGAGACCGCCCACGCCACAAGGTAGCACGGGGTCATCCTTCGAATAGGATGCATCAGTGAAGACATACCAGGTTTGCTGTTTGTTGACCTGGACTAGCCTAGGGCGGCCATTGTCCAACATGTCGACTAGCGAGGTGAAAGTGTCGATGCACTCAGCCGGCAGATCGGGAGGGGCACCACCATGGGCATACTCCGAAAGCTGCTGCAAGCAAAACTTGCTCTGGCGCCCAAACAGCTGTCCACTTGCAAACTGGAGCTTACCTCTTAGCTTGAGTGCTTGAGGCACACTCATACGCCGGTCTTTCTGGGCCTGCTTCATAGTCTCAACGAGGAGCTGGACTCTCTTTTCTGTATTGCAAATGGTCACACGACCCAAGTGGGCGCTCGACAGCACTATGTCAACCCCTAAAGCACAAAAGGCTTCCGCAAACGGCACATCCTTCTTCCCGCCTTGGGCCAGGTCCCAACCCAACAGGGCGAAGAGCAAGGTGATTGTTTGGTGCACATTGGCCACCTCTGAGCCTCTAGCAACCGACACGAAGTCGTCAAAGTAGTGGGACCAGCAAAGGGCGAAGAAGAACGCGCCAAGATGCCATACCGAGTTAACGGTCCTCAGAAAAGTCGACACCGACTTGACTGCCCCGAAAGGGAGGGCATGTAGCTGGAACACTACTACCCTCTTCAGGTCAGGATCCCACAGTCCAATGTACGAGGCCCAGGCCCCTGCAGGGTCCAGAGCCAGCTGCCTGTAGGCACTGACCAGGTCATAGAACCTTCCCTTGAGACTACAACCTGGTTGCGCTCGCATCAAAGACAGGCACACACCTGCGATGACGTCGACGGTCTGGGGGCGCACAGTCTCCAATGTCTCTACGGAGCTATTGACTCCCGACCCTGAGAAGTCGTCAATCAACCTGATTTTCCCATCCTGCTCGATCCCGAACCTTCGAGACACAATGGCATCAGGTGGCAGCTGGTCCACTTCGATGGGACCTGACAGCCAGCCCCTATCGCGCTCCTCGAGGGTTTTCGTTTGGACCTCGCGATCCAGGGACTCCCCTTGGGACTTGATGGTGGACAACAGGGCCGCCCTAGAGGTGGGTGCATCTCTTTTGAGTTGGTCAACCGTGACTGACGCCGGCTTGAACTTCGGGGCAAACACACCTGTATCAGGCACCGGGCCTCCCAGGTTAGTACCTGAGATCACTTCATCGAAGATGGACACATCGTCGTAGGAAGCCTCAACCATCATTGCCTTCCACAAGAGGAGACGTTTGGGCTTAAGGATCGTCGCGACCTGTTTGTGCATAGAGGCCTTCAGCGCTTCTTCCTCACTTCTGAGGTCCTCCGCAAGCTTGAGCCACTTTGCAAACTGGCGCGCTCTCAACCCGCACAGCTCCGACTCTGTCATCGAGGCATGGGTGCACACAGCATCTTTGAGTACTTGCGGCAGGGCGACCTCTAGGGTTCTGGGATGGCCAGCTTTAACTGCCTCGCGGACAAACTGTTCCGGGGAAAACGGGATACCCCAAACCAGCTCGTTCCAGAGCTCCGAACCAACACCACAACCCTTGCTTCCTGAGCCAACACTCGAACTCCCCTGCTTAACCGGGACCATTTGCAGCAGTTGGGCTTCGGCCGGCACCGAGCGCTCGGGGCAGACGGCCACGTGGGGCAGTGGCCATGGGTCCTTAAGGCGGGCACGCAGGGGCACTGGACAGGAAACATGAGGGGGGATACGTACTCGCAAAATGCGAGCATGCTCGGGTACACGGGGCCCCGTCACAGAGGCCTTCGGCTGACTTCCGACCTGGCCACGGACAAGAGACAGCTGGAGCCCGGCAGGCGAGGGCGGCCTGGGTGGGCAAGTCTGAAAGAACGCTTGGGCGAGAGCACGTGCCAGCGGCAGTGGATACGCAGCCTCCAACGACGTAGAAAATCCGTTAGGCGCTTCCGGCGCCACCCCCCACGGCAGGTGACGTTGGGCGCAGGACTGCCCAGGGCAGGACTTGCAGATGCTGTCAAACGCACCCCGGGTATACGCAATGGCCGTCCACTTTGGACGACGGCTGCCGTATGCGCAACTTTGGAATGCAGTGAACCGAAAGAGGTGTGCGACTCGTGCAAACATGGAAGTGCGCCAGTAGAGACTTTGCCGGGGGTTCTCCACACCTATGACAAGGGCTCGGGAAGCAGCCTCAAGGACCAGGTCGGACACACAGTCATAAAGCTGGTTCGCTAAGGTGACCCGGAGAAGGGCCTGCCCACCCAGCTGCGGCAACCCGTTCGGAAACTTTTCCGATCGGAGAGCAGGGGGCCCCGGAACCCCTTTAATCTCCCTTGCTCGGCCACACGGTGGAGCGAACCAAATGCCCACACAGTTGGGCATTGCCAGCCAACGTCGAACCAACTCAACGCCTTCCGTCGTACACAAGTCGACAAGATGAACATGACAGGCGGCGCCAGGCACGCGCTTATGGTCGACTGCAACGGCGTCAAACCCAAGTTGCTTGAGGCAGGCTGAGAGCCTGGACATGCCGGAAAAGACCTCAATAATGAACGGTGGCCGGGAAGACGCCTCACTGGCAGACAGAGCGGGCACCTGCGTAGGCTCCGGTGGGGACATGTCAGTCGGACAGGGAGTCATTATTGTAAGAACATGAAATACACAGCAACGCAGGAGCACTTTTCTTCGCGAATGGGAATACCAAGTGTCAACGCGCAGCATAACATATGCTGAATCCGACACACACATGGCATACACTTATGCCAAACTCGCAAACCGCACATCAAAGCACGGGCGAACGCAACCCTCCCCCCCGCGTGTCGAGAGGGCGGGCCGGGCGGGACACGCGAGAATGCAAGCCACTTGCAACACTGCACTGCTTCTCGAAAGTTGCATACGAGCAGCAACACAAAGCAGATGGCAAATGGCTTCAACGAGCACATGACATGAGCATCATGCGCACGCAACCCTGCCCGCAAGACCTGCGCCAAGGAACACATCCCTGCAGACAGACAAGTCCCCCTACGATGGACGCGGTCCACTCCACCGGGGTTGCTGAGCGGAGGAACATCCGACAGTGCTGGAAGGAAGTCCGGTGGTAACGGGAAGCCAAGCTCAAGGAGGGCTTGGGGGACCTCAAGCTTAACTGAGGGCATATGAGGCAGCGCATATGCCACCAGGACCACGCGACGGCCTTGCCAGGGTTCAGTCATATGCCAGTGGTCCTTAGCAGGCAGCTCAAGACAGCCATTGTCGAAATCGAGCACACGACCCTGAACCGGAGAGCCTTGAACAGGGCGGACATCTTGCCCAGGGCCTTCACACCACACACCGCCCCCAGAGAAATCTGAAAGCTTAAACACAAGATTAGGAGATGGGCCGTTGTGGGAGTCACGATGAGGCTCAGTGGGAATGTCACAAAATATGGCAAGCGAAGTGAACACCGCAGACGGCCGGCGTTGTCGAACGAACGCACAGAGGACCTGCGCGACTTTCGGGAAACGAGAAACATTGGCCCGAAGGCCCAGCACACCCCCTCTCCGGTACAGACCAGTGAAGAACGAGCTGCCAGACGTCGCCTTGTGGGGGGCCTCGTGTGGAAGAAGCTCCCACAGGGAGAGCACAGAGTGAGGTCCAATGAGTTTGCCCTGCAGAAGTTGCTCAGCAAGTTCTT